GCACAGGTTGTTTCTCTCTATTTCTCTTCTTTTCTTTGTCTCTCTTCTTCTCATCCTCTTCGTTCTTCGCTCCTCTCTGCTAAGCTGCTCTTCTTTTCTTCTTCCCCCCCCTCTCTCTCTCTCTCTCTGTTTCGTCTCTCTCTCTCCTCCATTTTTTTTTTCCCGCTCTCTCGCTCTCTTAAATTATATATTTGTTGAATTTAATTTGTTTTCCCCTTTTATGAGGTCAGCCACTAGAGAAATGAACAAATATTTGTCACCCATCCATTTTTCAATATTCATCTTTGGCCCTCTTTTCCTGAACAATTATAGAACAAATTAATTTTATTTGAAAAAAAAATAAATTTCTTGAAATTGATGAATAGATGATGGTTGCATGTATATATGTATTTTAAAAATATTTGTTAATGTTATTTTGCATTTTTTATTTCTTTTCAATGTTAATTTTTTTTTAATTTTTTTTATGTCATATAATAAATAAGTAAAATTATATATTTTGAGTGTATCCCCGCGTGTTGTGTCCCTTATTTTTTGAAAATTTGCATGTCTACGTGACCGTGCCCATGTCCGTGTTTGTGCTTCTTAGTGCATATGGAACTCATGGCTGTGTCTGCATGACATATTAGCTATGGCAGATGCAACTATCTGTTCTGCTCTAAATTACCTACAGCTGCTGGTATTGCTACCCATCCCTGTGAACTGCAGCCCAGGTTAAGTAATGTTGATTATATCAGATATGAGGGCAGCCCATGTGTTGCAACTTAAACTAAACGACGGTGGCAATGTTTTGGGTTCTTGTTGGGGTGAGCACATTAGGTCATGGTAGACTTTTGTTCTTGGAAACAAAATTGACCTTCCATCAATCACAGCCCTAACTTTAGAGAAGGTTATGCCAAAACCTGATTTGACCAACCTTCTTATTTTCACCATTTCTATCTTGATTCTCCTAATTTGAGGTACAAAGCTTAAACTTTTAAGATCGATTAAGTTCATTCATGATGTATAATTGTTAATTATTGTATAAACAAAAATGAAGACAGATGTAATTATTAAGAAGGCTAGAATGATCATCTGTAAGGTACAGAAGGGTCAAGCTATGAATTGTCCCATTTATATTTGGCTTTGAGAAAATGCAACCCAAAAACAATTATTTGCTTTATTCCTTTGAGAACTCCAATGACCTTCAAACAAACACCAAGTTAGATTGGGTTGGTTTTGAAATGTACTTACATGGTTAGTGTAGTTTTCATTAGGTTAAATTATATTAATTTCAGTTGTTCTTTATTTATTTATTTTTTTTGCTTCCTCGCTCTCTTCTCCTTTATGACTTCTTTTATGTATATATTTGATATGTTGACGTATATTTGCTTTCCAACATCATTGACAAAAATTAAAGATGAACAAAATATACAATCTATCAAAGGAAAGGCTGAACATCATAGTATAAAACAGAGAAGTAAATCTGAACATGACATCATGGAAACTTACACAAACAATGTGCAATTGTTCTAATTGGGTATTAGTTTCAACCTTCTTAAATGACACATTGATCTTGGGTATAATACAAATGCCCACCCAAAACCCTGTAATTTGTGTTGTGCACAACGACTTGTAGATTACATATCTTGACAGCAGCAAGTTCACTGAAACTTTTAACTGTAAGTAGGGTTGAAATGGCAAGGATTTCCCTTTTTGTTTTATTAAGTGAATGGTGAGGATATTTTTGCACCACCGCAAACCTCAAGTTCTTAGGACGCGGATGTCTAGCTGTTTTGATTTGAATTTATTAAGTTATAGCATGCACCTTGCTTACGTGAAAAATGTTGATTACTTTTCTAAAGATCAAGATCAGAAGTCATCCTTCAAGGTATGCATTCTTTTCTCTTTTTATGTTCTTTGTCCCATGCAACCCCCCTCTTCCCATCTGAAATATCTTTGCCCTTATGTATTTAATCTGAAAAAAATAAAATAAAATTTTGGGCAAGTTTGAACACACTTTTGTCTTATTGGACTATATTGTGAAGCAGTTTTAGGGGCAGGATGGTTGACACTATTCTTAAGGTTGAATCGATGATTTTAGGAGTTGTAACTGGTGAACAACTTGATAGAGGGGAATGAGTCTTAACGAAATTGAACTAGCTAATAATCATGCATGCATTGCACAATATATTGTGGTGGCAGTGCTTCTGAGGGATCTATTTTCAGTTGATATGAAAATTTGGAAAAAGAGAAAAGAAAAGGTTGTTCGCTAAGAAAAAAGATAAGCCCAATATCATACTCTGTGCATAATCCTGTTTCTTTTATTTTCATGCAACCTTATATCAATTCCATCATTCCATGTAAAATACTAAATGGAATGTAGTTGTCAACTGTTTTTAAGTCTCATTTGACACAAAATTCCCTTTCCTGCAGGTTATTGACTTCCATCAGACCTTAGAAGTAAATGGTATTCGATTCTGGTGCTACACTGCTGGCCATGTCCTTGGTGCTGCCATGTTCATGGTTGATATTGCTGGTGTCCGAGTCCTCTACACTGGAGACTATTCGCGTGAAGAAGATCGTCATCTCCGTGCTGCCGAGATCCCACAATTTTCCCCTGACATTTGCATTATTGAATCCACTTATGGTGTTCAACTCCACCAACCCCGGCACATCCGAGAGAAGCGCTTCACCGATGTAATTCACACTACCATTTCTCAAGGGGGTCGTGTCCTAATCCCGGCATTTGCCCTTGGCCGTGCCCAAGAACTCCTACTGATCCTCGATGAGTATTGGTCGAACCATCCCGAGCTTCACAATATTCCCATATATTATGCTTCTCCTCTTGCAAAAAGATGCATGGCTGTTTACCAGACCTACATCAATGCTATGAATGAGAGGATCCGGACCCAATTTGCCAATTCCAACCCCTTTGATTTCAAGCACATATCGCCGTTGAAAAGTATCGAGAATTTCGATGATGTGGGACCGTCAGTGGTGATGGCAAGTCCAAGTGGGCTTCAAAGCGGGTTGTCCCGACAGCTATTTGACAAGTGGTGCTCCGATAAGAAAAATGCTTGTGTCATACCCGGATATGTTGTGGAAGGAACGCTTGCAAAAACCATCATTAATGAACCGAAAGAAGTTACCCTCATGAACGGTCTGATAGCTCCTCTCAACATGCAGGTCCACTACATTTCCTTCTCGGCTCATGCAGATTATTCACAGACGAGTACGTTCTTGAAAGAACTTATGCCTCCAAACATAATTCTTGTTCATGGAGAAGCTAACGAGATGGGGAGGCTCAAGCAGAAGCTTATTACCCTATTTGCCGACTGCAATTCCAAAATTATTACCCCCAAGAACTGCCAGTCCGTTGAAATGTATTTCAACTCCGAGAAAATGGCAAAAACTATCGGGAAACTGGCTGAAAAGGTCCCGGAAGTCGGCGAAACCGTCAGCGGCTTATTGGTAAAGAAGGGTTTCACTTATCAGATCATGGCGCCCGATGATCTCCATGTTTTCTCGCAGCTATCCACTGCAAACGTCATTCAGAGGATTACAATCCCCTACTCCGGTGCTTTTGGTGTGATAAAACACAGGCTCAAGCAAATATATGAGAGCGTAGATTCTTCAACGGATGATGAATCCGGGGTCCTAGCTTTGCGGGTGCATGACCGAGTGACGGTGAAGCAGGAATCAGAGAAGCATATCTCAGTGCATTGGAGTGCGGATCCGATAAGTGACATGGTCTCGGATTCGATTGTGGCTCTGGTATTGAATGTCAGCCGGGAGATGCCTAAAGTAGTTGTGGAATCAGAGGCTGCAATAAGTGAAGAAGAAAATGGGAAGAAGGCGGAGAAGATCTGCCACGCATTGCTTGTTTCGCTTTTTGGAAATGTGAAGACTGGGGAGAATGGTAAATTGGTGATAAGCGTTGATGGAAATGTGGCACATCTTGATAAAGAGAGCGGTGAGGTTGAGAAGCAAAAAATGAAGGTCTTAGAGAAAGATGAGAACAGCGCTTCGCCGAAATCAAGTGCAGTGAAGCCAATCCCCCTTTCTGCTGCTTCTTAGTGAGTTCTCTTTGTCGCTGTTCTTTTTGGTTGTTTTTGATTTCTGATACCTTGTTTTGTATCATGAATTTGTAGTCCATCTTTATATGGATGCTATCTAGAATGAGTGTTGAAAAGCATACACTAATTCACAGTGGATAAACAGTTGTAGCAATTCAGATGTTACATAGTAGCTTCTTATTTTCTGCTAATGTTGCAATAATCATGTGGAAAAATGCATTACAGTATTACTTTTTAGCTGACTTTTAGGAATGTGCGATACTTGTTGGACACTCCCAACATGTGTCGTTGAGCTTTCTAACGGCAACCCCAAAATCTTTTGCCCTTACTATTAGTAGATTGTTGAGATGTATTTCAACTCTGAGAAATTAGTGAAGATCATCACAATTTGTTTACAACATATTTAGTTTGGTGTTAAACCTAAATGGTTTAATTCGATTTGGAACCACAGTTTGTAGCAACTTGCCATCATCACAATCTGTTCACAAAAATATTATATAATAAAAATATCTATATATAGTTTTGACATTACTAAGATTAGCTTTAACGTAATTCCCGTTCGTTTAGATGAAAACATTATTATAAAATCATGATTTTATTAGCTGTTTAAAGAATTTGGACTGAGCCATGTAAGACCACACTGGTTTATGTTTTTTCCTTTGTGCTCAAACCTAGTTACATGCACTCTAGTTTTCTCATTTTGCTTCATTAGGTTCATAGTAATTGAGTTTTTTTCTTCAATAGTCTTAGGGATCTCAAACTCATCCTCAAAAATTCTAGAAACTCTAAACCTGGGATTTTGAAATATTTCCCAAAAAAAAAAAAAAAAAAAAGTAATCTAGAGTTATTTTATATATAGAGTTGAATCTAAGTTAATCATGCTTTTATTTTATTTATTTTTTTATACTATAGTTTAGAATATGTATTCGAAGTACTTAGCTTTACATAATTTTTTTATGAGATTGTCTTCTCTCCCGTCCTAATCTGGATCGGAGAGGACTTGTTCGGCCTGTGAAGTTTGTTACAGGTCTCGTTTCGATAACTTGAACTATTCATTTTATCAGGTTTTGCGTGTATATTATTCATAAAAAAAAATTAGTTGATATGATATTCATAACCTTTTCATTTTATAGAATTTGTATCTAAAAAAATTATAGGTCAATGTGTTTTAAAAATAGATCATCCATGTTTTTGGTTACAAATTTAATAAAATGAAGGGATTACGAATATCAGATCGGTTTGATCTTTTTATAAATTATATACACGTAGGGTCTGAAAAAATAAATGGTTCAAATCATTAAAATTGAGCTTATAATGAGTCTCATGGGCCCAAACAGTCATCTCCAATCCAAATGAGAACTAGAGAGAAACGTTACCTTTTTTTTATTATATAAAATTGTATTCAATAACATCAATATCGAGAAAGGTTCTTTACTGTCAGTATTTTAAAATGAAAAATATTATATAAATATAAAATTTATACATAATGGCGTGATTTAATGTGAATAATTTATTTTAAAACAAAACACACAGATAAATTTTGCTTACAAAAATAATATATACACATTATTCTTGTTATGTATTGTATAATTTTTTTTTATGAATAATTTTTTCCAATCAAAATTACAAAAGAGATGAGATGAATCTCTATGCTAATCAGTTCTAAAAAAAAGCTTCCTGTTTGGTAGTCTTGCTGGCTATTGGCAAATATTCAAATGCCACTAGCTGATTAAAACGAATTAAGATGATTAAAGTCAACTAGTAGTTGAAACTTAAAACCCTAGTTGCCTGGCATGCTCATTTTAAGTATTTTTTTATAGTGGTTGAAATTTGGATTCATTGGCTTGTTTACCATTTATCAATAAGATGGCAGACTAGACTAGAATGAGACGTTGCTGATGAAACGAACTTGATTTAATATTATATAATTAATTTATTGGATGGGGATAAGGAAACATCTTTTTCAGATTTTAATATTATATAATTAATTTATTGGATGAGGGTAAGAAACATCTTTCTCATAAAGACGGTAAATCTCTCTAAACAGAAAGAAAAAAAAATTACTATATGTATGAAATTATACATTAAAAAAAGGAAACAGTATGCCTTTGGTCTGAGATTGAATTGAACAGTATTGTTCAGTTTGTGGGAGGCCACTATAGATCTTATTTTTGATAATCTGAACCGTTCAATATGTAGAATTCGTTGAGTATTATATGCTTATTAAAAATCACGTTGATCAGATATAGATAACTATCTCATCAGATTCGTTTTTTGTCAATCGTTAATTTGTTCATCGTTTATTTATTTTTAAATACAAAACTGATTTGATCACATAGCTATCGATATCCGATAAACGTGATTTTTTATAAATATATAGTATTCGACAAGTTCTACACATTCAGCGGTTCGGAGCCCCCGAACGGAACACGTGATGGGCCCCCACGAGCCGAACAGCACCGTCTAGTCTGATCTCGAACTGAAGGCAAGCTGCTCCCAAAAAGGAACCAGCTTGCCTCCAGTCCGAGATCAGACTGGCCGGTGCTGTTCGATCCCTACTTGGTGGTTGTCTGCCCCTACTTCACTTTTACCCGTTGTAATTTATTTCATGTGTGCTTTAACTCAAGCTATTTAGATATAAATATATAACTCTCATAATTTGTAGATTATAATGCATTATTTATTAACATTTCGTCTACGTAAAAGTATTATTTACTTATTTTCAAATATAACAATGTTAGAGACACCGAGAAAATAAAATACATATAAAATAAATAAGACAAAATTAAAGTGATTTTGCTCCCCAACAAATATGGCTGCAAATGAAGAGAGTCGTTTGTGAACAGGTTCGAACTCGTCTCTATAAAAGTTCGGCTCTATAAGAACTCATTCAAACTCGATTCGATAAATTTTTAATAACAAATCCAAACATTTTAAAACTCAGCTCGTAAACTGACTCGTTTAATATTTATTATTTATATATTAAATAATATAAAAATATGTATAAAAAATAGCATAAATATATTATTTATATATTTAAAAAATATAAATGAAAATAATAATTAACTATAAATAGTACATTTATATAATAGTTGCAATAAATATTATTATTTTGAAAAATGTTGACTTTTTTTTTAAGAATGTTTATATATAATTGTATAATCAAAATTTTAATTGTAACTTTAATCTTATATGCAAGTATGAATTTATAAATTTTTTTATTTGTCAAGGCTCGTGAACAGGCTCAAGCTTGAGTCAAATTTAAGCCAACTTAACTTAGTTTGATTCGTTAAATTTTTATTGAATTCGACATCGAGTTCAAAATTTTAAAATCTTAATAAACAAATATAAACATACTAAAGCTTGTTTCGAATCGGGTCGGCTCGACTGCAGCCAATTTACAAATAACAAAAGTCTCTAATTTCCGCAATATTTTCTTACTGGTGGACTTTGGTTGACAAACAGATTGTGTTCATGATTAAGTGAAATTTGCCCATAAATTTAAATTACAATAATATACGAACAATGCCAAGGCCAAGCCAAGGCCAACCACCTAAACTCTAAATCAAAATTTAATATCACAAAAATTGTTTAGAAGTCAAATCCGATTAAATTAAATTATTCATTATAAAAATTAAATTTATTTATTGTACTAATCATAACTTTTTTATTTATCGTACTTATTTTAAAAGTTTAGATGATACAGATACTTTTAAAAATAAATTGTTATTTTTTTGTAACATGATTATTAAATTAAATTAAATTTTTATCTATAGATGATATACATGAAAGATTTTATAAATGAACAATTTAGATTATCAAAATGATATCCGTGGTGAGTTTATCTTTTCATCAGCGTAAACAGCATTTTTTAGTACAGATCTAGGCTGGAAGAAAGCCAACCCATAAAGAGTAAATTATACTCACCTCCTTTGAGATTTGGAAGAATACAATTAATTCTATATTTTTTTGATATAATTAAAGAGTATATAGTAGATTGACATTGAAATAAAAAAAAAATATATGATTATATTATTTTTCATTCATAAGACTAATAATTTTACAAAATTATTATGTGAATTAAAACATAAAGAGAGGCTAATATAATTATATTAAAATATAAAACTAATTGTATTCTTATTAAATTCAGTGGGGGGAGTGTAAAGGATTCTATCTTTGTGTGTTAATTATACTAATAGTCTCTATAGTTTGGGACTTGTGTCATTTTGGTTCCTGAGTTTTCAATTGTGATACATTTGATCCTGAATTTTGAATCTTGTTCCAAATAAGAACAATTGAAAATATTATTAGATTTTTCAAGGGTAAAGTCGTCAATTTGATAAAATATAAACTAATTTGACAAAAATAAATGTCAAAAAAATATTTTTAATTTTTTAAAATTTATTTTTATCCACCAATGATAAAATTAATAAAAATTACATGATTAATTTTTTAAAATTAATTTAACATGATCATCATCCAAACACATAATAAAAATTAATTTGGTAACCAAAAAAATAAATGTCGAAAAGATTTATCAATTTTACATAATTTTATTTTTAGTAGGTGGAAATAATTTTTAAAAATTCAAAAATATTTGTTTGACGTTTATTTTTGTCAAATTAGTTTATATTTTATCAAATTGACAATTTTACCATTGAAAAATTTAATTATATATTCAATTGTCCTTATTTGGAACAAGATTCAAAATTCAGGGTCAAATGTGTCACAATTGAAAAGTCAGAGATCAAAGTGACACAAACCCCAAACTATAGGGACTATTTTTGTCATTTGCCCTATCTTTGTTAATAAAAAATAGGATAAATTACAAATATACCTTTGAGGTTTGCTTAAAGTACAGATTGTTTCTTGTGATTTCAAAAATTACAATTACCTCCTTGTTAAAATTTTTTATTTAACAGAATTAACTAAAAAAATAAAATTCATAATTCCTTTCTGAGGGGGAGATTTATGATCTGGATTGGGCCGTGGTAATGGCTGGGCAGATTTGGGCCGAACACAGTTGGGCTGTGGTAGCATGGGCCTGTCCATAAAGGTTTTGCTTGGCTAAGACAAGGCATGGTTGGACCGAGCTACTTGGCTTCAAGGTGCAGAAACCGGTCGAGTGATGGTTCGGCCGAGATGTCCGCTGCCTCACTGGGTTCCACGGTTCGTGGGTTGGCCCGGCAGG